TGCAATAATAAACAATAATAAACATGGCAATAAAAATATTTGAAAAGTTTGTATATATTTGTTTATATATAGCTAATCTTATTTTACTGTTATATTAGGTTAATAGGGTTAAAGCGTGCAATAATAAACAATAATAAACATGGCAATAAAAATATTTGAAAAGTTTGTATATATTTGTTTATATATAGCTAATCTTATTTTACTGTTATATTAGGTTAATAGGGTTAAAGCGTGTTTCCCTTTGTCTGAGACAAAATGGAATATAAACCAAATTTGAGACCCCAGACCTTTTGTACACAATAATACGTACTGCAATCTCTGGGCTGAATGTAAACATTTAAACTCTGAATTCCCACTGAGTTTATTTACATTTTATGTAAAAGAAAAGTAAACATTGCAAAAACCGGAACCGGAAGCCATGAATACCTGGGTAGGTGGGGTTTAAGACCAGTTATTGTACAAGGGTACAGCAGTGTGTTGTACAAGGGTACCCTTAAAGGATGAAACTTCAGTAACGACTGTAAGAAAATGCATCCTTTGTTCTACAGTTTTTCTCCCCAGCAAATTGATTTTTTTTGCTTTTTTTCAAGACCAATTATTTAGTAATTTACTTAAAGGCTAAATTTAAAGAAAATGATCAGTTTTACTTGTTAAGTTCTAACTTCTAGGTCGTCATTAAAATCTCATTTTTTGTGGGTAACCCTGTAAGGATGATTAGGAGATTTACTCTTATACCATTCAGCCACCCACAATCATGAAAATGCAGATACTGCTACCATGATATCAAGTTTGAACCGACTTTAATAACTACCCTTAAATCAAGTTATGAATTGAATGACTACCCTGAAATAAAGTCAGGACTTAAAGGACTATCGTGAAATCAAGTTAGGACTAAAATAACTGGCGTGAAAGTAAATTATACGACTACTACTATTAAATAACTACCGTGAAATCATCACGATCTGAAAATAAAATTGTTGTGATAAAGAATAACCAATGCTACTGAACTATGAAGTTTTTTATCTCCTTTTTGAGCATAGGTAACCTTGTCTCTATAGAGCTCAGAACTTTGTATTGTTAGTTTCTTCAAGAACCCTTATTCGTATCTTTGGCAGATACACTGAGAACATTTTTATGATACACAGTTTGTGCTATTGCTTTGGAAAATGGGGATTTGTTGTACTTGCATTATTGCGCAATCTCTCGTGGTCATATACTTAATCAAATCCTTGCCAACGATAAGTTTAATCGAAAAGTTCGAGAAAAACAGAAATCACGGATTAGGTGCACTTAACAATTTTCACAATAGACAGTGGTCAGTGTAATAGATTAATTAATAACAGATAGAAAACTAGATGTCGTCCGTTCAAGTTTTTTTTGGCTTTTTCGTTCAAAATAACAATATTTGAGGCAGAGGCCCTAAGGAGTTTTGCGCATGTAAATCAACGCTTCCTGCGCGGAACTCCTTTGGGCTTCTGCAGTTCTTTCTTAGGGTTTTTTGAACGATAAATTCCTAAATCTTGAAAAGACGACATCTATTGTTCAATCTGTTATTTTTAATTAATCTATGAGCGAATTACCAAGAGTTCCTGGATGATTAATGAGAATACTGACTTGTATTGCTGGGCATCCAGGGAGATCTGAAACTTATCCTCATCATATTTTACTCTAGGGTGGGGCAATCCATCCCCGCCCCCTGGNTTATTATTATTATTATTATTATTATTACTATTATTATTATTATTAATATTATTATTATTATTGTTATTATTATCATTATTATTATTATTTAGTCTACATTAACCTCTGTTCAAATTGCTTGGATACGTAAGTTTTTCCTCCATCCTTCATCTCCTGCAGAAATCAGATATTAGTTTATTTGATTATTTAATGAATTGATTAATGATTTAAGAAAGCTACGTCAGAATACCACATATCTCGTTTAAATAAACCCGTTATAAATGGAATGTAAACAAATTCAGTACTGCTGCAGTACACTTTTATAAATGAATTGATTAATTGATTTTTATTATATTGATCGATTGATTGATATTAGATTGATTGATCGATATTAGATTGATTGATATAGATTGATTGATATTAGATTGATTGATTGCTATTAGATTGATTGATTGATGTTATATTGATTGATTGGTATTAGATTGATTGATTGATATTATATTTATAGATTAATATTAGATTGATTGATTAATATTAAATTGATTGATTGATATTAGAATGATTGATTTATATTAAATTGATTGATTGATATTAGATCAATTGACTGATCTATATTAGATTAATTAATAAAATGATAATAAATTGATTGACTCATTGATTAATTATACCTGTCTGCCAAGCACTACAAGAACATCTCCTTCTGTTTTAATGTTTAACTCCTAAAATGTATATTTTAATAAAAAATTTTAAAAATTTTATCATTCAGTATTTAGAATTCCTTTTATTTCTCTCTTTTATACGATTTTACCATCTATACGGATATCCGCAAAAAGTGTTTTTACAATTCTCAATTTTCTTTCTTTATGTAATTTTGTGCCCAGTGCCCAGTCCATAATATTTTGCATAACCCTATTTCTACTGACCCTATTTCCTCTGCCCTGGGGGGGGGGGGGCATTTCCTT